AAAAACTGCATTTTGTCTTTACTTTAGTTATCTTTGTCTAATATTAGAATTTGTTTGATAATCTGGAACATGTAAGTGTGACAAATATGCAAAAAACTAAGAAATCTGGAGGGGAGCAACTATTTTTTCACCACATTGTATTGCTATGTCATCAATGGACAGTCCGTTAATTGACATATAAATCATCTGACTAAAATCAAACAAACAACACTAGAGCACGGGCATTTACTAGTAAATAAACAGTAACACATATCTTTAAAGACACTAGATAAAGTCAACACGCTAGTTACATGAAACAGTAGTGTATAATTACATTATATGATCATAATAACAATGCAGTAGATTATGGAAAAATATAAAATGATGTTCTTTCTTAAATAGCAAAGTTTCACCACAACAGCTTCTGAAGAATCAGATCAAAATCTGCTGACATGAATTAAATGTCGTGCGTTTGTAGATGATAACTACTTTTTTCTTGTGGGTGTGCAGGGAGAGAAGGGACAGGCATCGCTCTAAGAATCGCGATGGCAGCATCCGTGGAGAGAAATCTGTGGTCATCCAGGCTCCGGGGGAGTCGCTGCTGGACGCAGATTCCCCCAGAGAGGACGACAGGGTGAGAGATTTTTATTTTTCATTTTATGTCTTGTAACAAATGTTCTTCATAGCCGCAGCATTTCTGACACTGACCTCTTCCTTCAGGATGACAACTGGGGTGAAACGACCACGGTGGTCACCGGCACCTCTGTGGACAGCATCTCAAACGAGGACCTGACGCAGCTATCTAAGGACTCAGGCGACTCTTCAGCGCTGGAGTGCCGGCGTTACATCAGCCCAGCGCTGGGTGTCATTCTGGGGTTCGTCTCTCTGATCACTCCACTGGCCTTCTTGGCCCTCCCACAGCTCTTGTGGCGGGACTCACTGGACCCTTGCGGCACGCCGTGTGAAGGCCTTTACATTTCACTCGCCTTCAAGCTCCTGATCCTCCTCATCTCCACGTGGGCGCTGTTTCTCCGCCCGCCCAGAGCCGCTCTGCCACGCTTCTTTGTGTTTCGCTGTCTGCTGCTTGCGCTGGTCTTTCTCTTCGTGGCGTCCTATTGGCTCTTCTATGGGGTGCGAGTGCTGGAGCCCAGAGAGACAGACTACAGGGGGATTGTGGGCTATGCGGCATCTTTGGTGGACGCGTTGTTGTTCATTCAGTACCTAGCCCTGGTGCTGCTGGAGGTCAGACACCTGCAGCCTGCTTTCTCTCTGAAGGTTGTGAGGAGCACAGATGGAGTCAGCCGCTTCTACAATGTGGGACATCTCAGGTTAGTAATTGTGGAAAATCAGAAGTATTTGTCTATTTTTTGTGTCTCTTTTTTTTCTAGTTCTCTGAAATAATGCTTCTTAAATTTCAGTGATACTTGCTGCAGAGTTTGGCCACGCTGTAGTAGGGGGCAGCATTTCATCACTGTTTGATCTGTCTGGGTCATGTTTGTTTCAACCCACTGCTAAGATTTCCAAAAAAGCCCACTTTGTTTCACACCACATGCATTATTTTCTCCAAACCGCATGTGGATCAACCCACAAAAAAAAGTCCAGATTTTGTTACGAAGTTTTCCCCACAGTTCAGTCCTACAACTTTGACTCTGACTCTTGACATCAATGCATTGCACTAATTCTCAGTTTTAGTCATTGCTCTAGTTTTCCTGCAGTTACCAACCAAACCGCAGTGAGTGGTTTATAAAATATGCAAAGATTGTGTGGATGGTGTTGCTTTCATTTTCTGTGGGTGGTTAGGAAGTCACGCCTGTGCTATGTGTGTTAGACCCCTCTTAACCTTTGTCTCTGCTGTGAAGCTGCAAGCATGTGCTGGTGGTGCAAGCAGAGCGATCGGACTAAAAACTCAACACAACTGCAAAATATGTGGCCATAATTAGGTGATGATTTTATTTAGAGGATTGCAAGTCACAGTAACAGTCATCTTCAAGATAAAGATGTTATAGATGAAAAGGGAACAGCCCAGCAACACTGGAGAAGGGGAGAAAAAAATAAGCTCTTGATGGACCAGACAGCTCAGGAGGGCAGACGTATGCTATAAATAGCCAATTGCACAGCAGGATGGATGAGAGCTGATAAGGATCACAGATTCAGACGGGATCAGGCCCAGATCCTGTTAAGCTCTGATCATTTTGCACTTAACTCACGGTGAACATCCTCAGAGTGGACTGAACTCTGATCAACCTTTCTGGAACAGGAAACTCCAAAATTGTCGATCTCACAGTTATTCAAGCCACAGTTTCTTTTTAAACTCAAAGTTTGTTGAACCTGCTTCGTGTAATAGGGCCCTGGTGACTGTGGAGGTCATTTGAGTGCAGTGAAGTCATTGTCACGCTAAAGAAAGCAATTTGACATGATCAGAATATTGTGACTTTGCGTATTGCCATGGAGCTGTAAACATTGTGGTCACAAAGGGATGGACATGATCAGCAACGATACTCATGCAGCCTGTGGTGTTTAAATAAAGATCAGCTGCTATGAAGGGACCCAATCTGTGCAGAGGAAACATCCCCCACACCACCAAACCACCAGCAGCAGCCTGAACAGTTGATGAAGGCACGACAGAGCCATGCTTTCATGTTCTTTGTGCCACTACACTTACCATCTGAGTGTTGCAGCAGGTTGTCTCGATCATGTCTACATGCCTAAATGCAGAGCCCTGTGATTGGCTGATCAGATATTTGTGTTCATATGCAGTTGAACAGGTGTTCCTAATGAGGTGGCCAATGCAGCGTAGCTTTAATAAGCACTTCTTCATAGCAGAGGATTATTGTTGCATGTGATTTATAATTCTTGCACTGCTGTGCACTTTTTCTTGTTTCACACTGTTATGATTGATGTACGTTGTTAGTCCACAGCAACCGTTTTTTGAGCGGCGCTCCATCTGAGTGACTGTTGCTGTTTCTTCCTGTTTCAGGGGCAGTAAAGCAGCGAGGATGTTAAGGTTGCTGACGCTGATAACAACTCTGTGTTGTCAAGTTTAACAAACTTTCTTCCTCTTTGTTGTGCAATGCAGCATTCAGAGGGCCGCAGCGTGGGTTCTCGATCAGTACTACAGCGACTTTCCGGTTTATAACCCTGCGTTGCTTAACCTCCCCAAGTCCATCCTCACCAAGAAAATGTCTGCTTTCAAAGTCTACAACCTGGGGGAAGGTAATAATTCAGCTGAGCAAAAAACTTTATCAGTCCGAGTGAAATAAACAAATAAATGACGCTGAATGAAAAAGCAGGAGTTTTCTTCTTATTTGTCCTCAGACTTCATAGTGAATTTCACACAAACACGCCACAAACACATTAATTTATTTCTTCCAAATTCTACATGGAATAATAACTGATAAGCTCATCAGAAGTATCAGAGCCACCTGTGTTACTCTGCTCACGAATTAAATGACACGTTTCTATTCACAGACAACAGCACCAACAACTCCACAGGCCAGTCCAGAGCCATGATTGCAGCGGCCGCTCGGAGAAGAGACAACTCCCACAACGAGTACTACTATGAGGAGGCCGAGGTGGAGCGGAAGGTCCGCAAAAGAAAAGCCAGGTACTAACGGGCGTGTGAATACAGAAGTACTTACTGACAAAGATGCAGAAGTTGCAGACTTGGTTAAACTTGATAGGATGTTGTTTTCCTATTAAAAGATAATCATATAAATATACTCAAAGATAAGAAGGAAGCACAAACACAAAAAATCATGTTAAGATGTTTGTTGTCATGAACTAACTACATTTGTGGAATTCATATTAATACGTTTTTACCTGAAAGTCCTAAATTGATGCTTGTTTTTATGCCCTGGGGTAATAAACATAGAAGTATAGAATTTGAAGATTGTAATGTACATGACATCGGTTTAGAGGAGTCATGGTCTCCTTAATCCTCACAGGCTGGTGGTGGCAGTAGAAGAAGCTTTTACCCACATCAAACGTCATCAGCAGGAAGATGCAGTCACTTCCTCTCCCAAACACCCGCGGGAGGTGATGGACCCCAGGGAGGCAGCTCAGGCCATATTTGCCCCCATGGCACGGGCCATGCAGAAGTACCTTCGTGCAACCAGGCAGCAGACTTACCACAGCATGGAGAGCATCATCAACCACCTGCAGTTCTGCATTACCCACAACATGACACCAAAGGTAAGGAGGGTCAGTTTGTGTGCGTGATTTTTCCCAGTTCAGTCGCGGGAAGAGACACACATCCCTTTAGGGTTGTGTCAGGAATGTAGGAATAAAAATATGATAGAATTTTAAGCAGAAATGTACTTTTTCCAGCTAAAGGTTCAAATAAATGAATTTTGCTCTTATGTAAGTAGACAAAGTATGAAAACAGTTTGTTGGCTTTAATCCGAAACATGTCTTTTATAAATGTTTTACATTTAATTATGAGTTGTGCATTGAAATTGTCCAGCATTAAAGTAGTGGCAGCATTTTATTTTGACATCACATCCAGCCACATTAAACAGTCTGATGGAGTTTGTTCACACACCATTCTGCACATTTTCTGCTGTCATTAAAGGCTTTCCTAGAGCGTTACCTCGTCCCGGGCCCCACCCTGCAATACCTGGACAGCAACAGGGGGCGCCAGTGGACACTAGTGAGCGAGGAGCCAGTGACCGCCTCTCTGCGTCAAGGCCACGTCTTCAGCCTGAGGCGCCTCGACCTTTCTCTGATTGTGACAGTAACGCCGCTTCCTTTCTTGCACATAGCCGAAGAGTTCATTGACCCCAAAAGCCACAAGTTTGTCATGAAGCTTCAGTCAGAGACGTCTGTGTAGGAGGGGAGAGGCACCGGGCAAGGCAGAGGAGGGGCAGGATGTCGCATCATATGTACTAATAACTGAGGGCTAATTTTGGGGGGGATTTTTTATGTATATTTTGTTTTTTCTTTATTTACTTTGCAGTATTAAAAACCTGATTGTCATGACTGTTTTTCAGAGTGTGAGACAGGAAGGTCTTTACTGACATGAATATAGGAAAAACACCAAGGCTACAAAAACAGCAGGTCGCTGACCATCTTCCGTTTACTTGCTTGTAAAACTGCTGACTGTTAACTTCGCTAAGTGATTCTACTTCCTGTTGTTGCATTTTGTTTGCTCTTTAAATTTGATTTTTGATAAATGTGTTATTACTGCACCATTTACCTAAGATCCACCCATGATAGATCCATGTAATATACTGATTGGCTGTGGAAAATATTCAATTGTTTTTACTGTTCAAAATGACCTTTTCCTATGCAATCAGACCTGAATGGCTTTACTTTACTTTATCTTTCTCAGACTTTAGCTCAGTTCTCTTTTCTTTTTTTAGCATCTTCTTTTTTCCTTTTTTTAGTTCCTGACAGACTGACTATGAAAATAAATGAACAGAGAACTTTACTAAAAGTTTGCCTGACATTTATAGACAGCTTTCATAGCCTAAATGTGGAGACATGAAACCATCTTTGAACTATTTCTTCTTATATTTTTTATTCCACTGAATGAAGGTGAAATGCTAACTTTGCAATAAATATGAAATTTTAAGCAAGTTGGGAAGGACAATTTGACTGTTTCAGAAACACGTTTTGTGTTGTTTATGTGGTTTGGTCACTCAGTGAGAGGTCCATCAATAGAAATGTCTGACATGATAGAGGAAAAAAGCTAAATTAAGAGCAGGGCCTGGAGCCTGTCCCAGCTATCATAGCTCAAGAGGTAACTGGGCTAACAAAGACAAGCAGACAACCACATTTACCAGTTGAACTCTGCACAGATGGTTGTTTTGAACCCAGAACCTTCTTGCTGTGAGGCAACAGTGCTAACCGCCGCACTATGCACTTCCCACTTTATAAAGTTTTTCCCTATAAGCAAAAATGCTACATTCAATAATTTACATTGGCCTCATGAATACATTTATTCTTTACAGCCTATTTTAATTGGATTAATAATAGCGATGCATTAATGGTAAAGTCGGGCCTTTACTAGCAGCGGGCCTGTAAGGGAACAGCTGATATTGGGCTCTTTTTTGAAACCCAGAAGCTCTTAAGCTAAAAATCTCCTGCAAGTATTTCAAATTAAGATCCTTAAAGAGTTTCAGTGCATAGGTACCCTTCATCACTGCAAGCATTTACACATACTATATGTACAAATAGCTGGACGAGATTAAAGGATGAAAATGAAACCCAGTGTTAAAAAGAGCACAATTGTATTGTTACATTTCTGAAACTGAAGCAGTAGAAATGCACACTATGCTTAGGTGGTGCAGACATTACACCAGCAGCAGCCGGAGTTTATCTAGCCCTGTGCTATGTCTGTATATGGGGGTCAACTTTCATTGGTTATGAGTAGATGAATCTATACACTAACTAGAGCCTGGTTGTCTTGAGTAATAACATGATTTTGAATTAAATGATGGATATGATTATGTGTCTTTTGTCATTCAAATATGTCTCTTTTTTTTACACTGCAGATAGCCAAGTCACTGTTGAACAGTTTACATTACATTTGAGTGTTTCCCTTTTTTAAAATGTAATTTCATTTTTTATCAGTTGTGTTTTGCTGTCACTTTGTTGTGCTGAAATTAATCTCTAACACTTGTCTCTACGCACCACAGTCTTTTAAGTAAATACTATTTAGTCTTAAAAAAAAAGTATTAAATGATGTCAGTCAAACCCCATGTGTGTCACCAGATGTTTGAGTTGTGGGCGGGGGTTTTTTGGTCTGAAAAAGGAAGTGAAGCTGACATGCGTAGTAGTGTGTGCGCCCTAACATAAGGTGACAAATTTACACAGCCATGAGGTTACATGTAGCTAAAGTTGACTGGAATTTGCCATACTACGGAAGAATAACCTACAATAATGCACAATACAAATGCTGTACAATTGAAAATGGAACAATAAAATACATTTTACAAAACTGAAAGAAAGAAATGTAAAATGTACCAAATAAAAGACGTTGGTAACTTTGATAACGGGCAATATTTCGAACATAAGTGATGGTCATGTTATAACAAGAATATGTTTTTTTAAATGAAAAACTTAAGTAGTGAAGTATTTTTGTAGTAAATTGTATGATGTGGTTTCCCCAGCAAAGAGAAGTGTTGATTGGAGCTGACTTTAATGGGCATGTAGGTGAAATTAATTTGGTGTTGGGCAGGTATGTTGTTATGGAGAGAAACACAGAACGACAGATGGTAGTAGATTTACAAAAAGGGTGGGAATGGGTATGGTGAACACTTTTACAGATGGAAGACAGGGAGTGAATCAGGAAGTGCAGAGGATAAAGAGCAGAAAGGCAGTTGGTTGATGACATACCTGATAGGGCATCATGCTTTTCAACCAAACTCATCAACACAGTTTGCTGATTGAGATAAAGAGGACTTTGACTGATTTTCAAGAACAAGGGTGATGTGAAGACAGGTTACTGATATGAAAATGTTACGTTTCTTTATTGGGTGTGACCAGGATAAACAGCAATGAAAATAAATACACCAGAGGACAGCTCAGGTGAAGCATTTTGTCAAAGTTAGAGAGTCAAGGCTGAGATCATTTGGACATATTCAAAGGACCGAATGTGGATATATTGGACAAAAGATGCTAAGTATGGAGCTATCATAAAGGAGGAAAAAAGATTGGTTGGTTGTAGTGGGTGTAGTGTTAATTCCGCTTGTCGGAAAGAGGAAGAAGCAGCAAATACAAGTCATAGCGCTTTGACTGTGTTTCACGTCAGGGACCATGAGACTACAGACCCTTTTTATTATTTTCTTTCAAGGTATGTCCTGTGTATGTTATCTTAAGCTATTATGATCTACAACTGTGCCAGACCTCAAGATAAAAAAAAAAAGCTAAATATTTCAAATGATTATCATAAAAATTAGTAACTTTACTGGTTACTTTAGGTAGAAGTACGAAACTTAACTTGTGAATTAATTGCCTTAAATGCTGGACAAAAATGCTCACATTTTATCATTTAATTATTGATGCCAAGAAAAGTGAGTATAATGGAACGGTTTTCTGTTGTTCGTGTTCGAAAAGAAGAGGGAAGTTAGATCAACTGGTGGACCTCATTCACGTGGCTTATTTCCGGCTTATAGAACTCACTGTTACTCTTCTCAAACTGAGATGTTTAGTGTTTATTAACATGCATTCCTATTATGCATGTTATTAGCTTGACCATTTCGACTGTGGTTTTGGAAATACTTTGATGTTTATGGTGAATGATCATATATTCATAACTGTTTTGATATCTACCCTAGCTTACCCTTAAAAAAGAAAATGTCAGATGTATAGCAGATGGAATTTTTGTGATTATCACTTTGACCCAAAAAGAAAAATATCTCAACAACAGATGTTTAAAATTGCCTGCTTATCAATGAATGTACTGCAAATACTTCTCAAAAAACCACAAGAACGGGGCTATCCAGTGTCTGAACACGTTCATTTAACTCTAAAAACACCTCTTAAATGTCAGAGCCTTGTCATGTATTGTACTGCTGCACATTCCTTTTGTCTCTTAAGGAGGAGAAGCTGTTGATATTTCTCAGTTATTTCTGATCAAGATTACCACATAATTATGTGACTGACAGTTGTCATTAGCCATTTTAAAATATTTTATGATACCTTATTTAGGGACGGAGCAAATGAAAGCAAACAACATCTCTTGACTCCTGTAGTGGAGTCAGAATGTTTCATGTTTAGTTTAAGGTTCTTTAAAAAAATAATCAAAGGTTAAGAGTATTTAGGGGAGTGCTTTTCCTTCTTTTTTTAGTGTTTAACCCTGTGAGACAACATGCAGTTGTACTAAATGTTTTTTTGTTTTTTTTAACAATAGTACAAGGTGTAAAAACAGCTGCAGTACCTAAATCATTTCGGGAAGTCTCTGGATACCTTGGAGAAAACATCACATTGCCCTCAGGAGCCGACCCATCATGGAATCTCCTTAGAATTGAATGGTCAATATTCACCAACACCACTTGGATTGCCACTTATAACAATGGGGAAAAGAACACCAGATATATTCCTCAGTACGCAGGGAGACTCACTCTTAGTGAAACATCAGGTAACAGAAAATTGATCACCTTTTTATTGCAACAGTATTATAGTGTTATATCCTTCATGTTGTTTCAATTCATTTTATCCTACAGGTGATCTAACTATTCACCACCTGAAGGAAAATGATGCTATGGAATACACTGTAAACCTCCTCAATAGGTTAGGTGATGATGGAGTAAATAAAATTAAACTCACGGCAAAACGTAAGTGACATATCAGAAAAACTAAAAATAAAATTACTTATATTTTGATTTTTTTGAGTCAGTGCTTATTTCTCTTATTTAAAAGAATAGCAGCACTTAATGAAATACTACAAACTTTTCTTTATTTTGAGTGCATTCATGTTCCATAAACATCAAATCTAGCAGTTTGCAATCAAATACACTGCTTGGATTAAAGTTAAGCTAGGCAGTCTTGCATTGACATTTTAGGATCTTTTCTTTGTGTGAATTTATCATTTTCACTCTCCATCTTTCTCCATGTCCATCTCCATCAGAAAAGCTCAAGCAGCCATCCATCCCGATAGTCACAAGCACATCTGTCGAAAGTGGCTGTTTAATGGTGGTGACCTGCTCTTCTCAGGATGAGGGTGTTAACCTCTCCTGGAGTGTTGAACCAGTCAGTGTGCTCACCATCAACAAGAGTAATCCCAGTGACAGCTCTGCACAGCTTTTTGCATTTGTCAACACCAAAGAGAACTCTACTTTTACCTGCATCTCCAGCAGAGATACAGAGAGTGTTTCATCCAAACCTGTCACACCAAAGTGTGATAGTAAGATCTGTGGTAAGTTGTTGAATGGGACACATTCTTTAACATACATGCACAGCATCAGCTGAGAGGAGGATTAAACAAAAGATGCATAATCTTCTATATATATATCTGATACTGGTAACAATGCACCCTTACCTTGAAGGACAGTAAATTTAATCAGAGAAACCACCTGACACAATACAAGTCACATTTCTGATTATGTTTTTGCTTTCTCCCTATAGTTTCAAACTGTACAATTCCATGTTCTCCTGTGACAGTGACACAATGGTGGCCTTTCATTTTGTTCATCGCCCTTGTTGTAATAGGTTGTTTATTTTACCGTTATGCAGGTAAGAGGAAAACAAACAAAACACCCCAAGAAGAAAATGTTAATTCAGCTTCCTCCTTTGTGTGCAGTCATATAAAGAGCAGTCATTATTAGCCATAGGCAAGTTTCGACCTTTTTCAGGTGCTCAGGCACCCCTAAAAATAACTTTATTATTAGTAATCATGTATTTTAGTATTATTTTCTGACATTATTTCCTAAGGTTATATTGTAACAGTCATGATAGAATGAAAACTTGCTTCAATGTCCAATGTTCTTGATGTTACAGTGAAATCCCACAACCTGCGGGATGATTTGTTAGAAATGACTCAGACTTGTGTTGCTTGGCTACAGAGAAGACGGAAAGGTAATTTCATAACACAAATTGGTGGTGCAGATATTAACTGTGCAACAAAAAAGCCTCCATACAAGAGAGGAATAAGTTATAATAGTGACTGGTAGAAAACCACCACACTCACTGATAATAGGGTACACAAGGTTTATTTTCCCCCTGATGCAGACTAGTGGCTGAAGACGTAGTTCTGGCCTGCAATCCAAGGCCCCCATGATCAGAGTTATTATCCTGGTTAAACAGGAAAAGGTGGTCACACAGAAGAACAAGCAGCCAATCACATATTAATCTTGCATCTTCATGAGAAAGCCTTCTTGCCCACATTGGCAAGCATTGCATTGTTAAGGAGTGGGTTTCCATACCAGATCCTGGAAATTCAACTCTCAAGCTCTTCCTCTCCTGATCTTGAATAATTTCTTATGGTTAAATACCTCCTAATTACAAAGTAGGCTTTTCCTCCTCATAGCAAAAGTGCAAATTGATCTGATAATGTGAGGACATTGCTATGACTTATAAAGTAGCCAACCTGTTATTAAAATAATTAATGTAAGATTATGTTTTGTTATATTCTAATAGAATACATTGTGTCAGCACAAAAAAGGAGAAAGGAGGAGGAAAAGACTGCACAAGTACAGGAAGAACAAGGTGAGCAAATGGGTAGATAGTGAAGTTAGGAGGAAAGACGCTAATTACTTTTCATAAACTAATATCACATGCATTTTATGCATGCTTTGTGTCCTTGTAGCACACTGATAAAATGTTGGTGGACATTCTAAACATATTGATATGAATAGTAGCAGTTTACAGGATTCATATCATTCTAAAGGCTTTGAACAGAATGGCTGCCACCACAAGTGAGTTTAGATTCCTTTCTGTTTTGTTCTTGATGGTGCAGTGCACTCGCACAGCCTGCAGCATGGCTTAATAATTCAGACTTATTTTAATGAATGTTGATGATGAATTCAAATCAAATTCAAATTCAAGATTGAAGAAATTAAAGAAATCGTTTCATGGCACAAATCAGTGGTGCAGATTTAAAATTCACTTTAGCTGAAATATAGCAAAAGTGCAAACTGTTCCTATAATGTGAGAACATTACTATGACTTTTAAACTGTCTGGTTTTCAGAGCCATTAGTCTGGTGTTATATCGCTAGTTGCCCGCCAAAGAGCTGATGTACTTTATAATTTTACTTTATTATTTTAAAAGTCTTTTGCATTCTGGTTGAATTGGGCTTCATTGTTTGTTTACAGTAAAGTTTCAGATCCAGGTCATGGCAAGTCAACAGGATGTTACCTGTCAATGGCCGGCAGCAGCTGTACTCATTTTGAATAACTAGAAATTGATATGGATTAGGTTATACCTTTTATTAGGTTGTAAATTCTGTTTCTCTTATATTTAACTTTGTGACAGCACTAACACCGAGCGAGGAAGAGAAGAGAAATCAGAATGAAGACAGCAATGAGAGAGCAAGCGAGGAAAAAGAAACAAGTAAGAGTGGACATGCACAATCAAGTGATCAAAAGGAGTTATAATGCTATTGCAGCACCTATATCATTTACATTAATTAATGAGGATTTCATGTAAGTAAGGAGTGTTATGCTGTATACAAACGTGGATCCCCAACCTGCTGATACAATAAATAAGATATTAATTATTATATATATTATTAATTATATTAATTATATATATTATAATAATAATCTAGTTCAACACAAGGAGGAGAACAGAGAGCTTATGCAAGAGCAGGAAGAACAAGGTGAGCAAATAGGCTGATAATGAAGTTAGGTGACAAAAACAAAGATTTCTTACAAAATAATTTTACGTGCATTTAATGGATGGACAACTGGGAAGCACACAAAGGCTTAAAAGATACCAGTGGACATTTTGCTAAAAATCCTAGTGGCAGGGTGATTTTTCAGTGTCTGTATTGGATAATGCTGTTTTAACTGCTTGGTGACTTGCCTGCCTCCCTTTGTGGCTACTTGTTCTTTAACTTACATTGGATAATGTTAGTCAACATGACTGGGGCTTTGAGTCTGTGAAAGTTCTCAGTCATCCAAGTCATCGTAGTCTAAGGAGCTTGGAAAGAAAAGAAAAGTCCAGACGCATTTCTTTCCAAGCTCCTTAGATGACTGGGGCTTTGCATAATGCTGTTGAAATAAAGGTTTACACCTGTGGAAAGAGCTGACTGTATTTGCAATCAGCATGATTAATGTTAACTGAAAAGCACTATATGCATGACATGATGACTGGGAGTTTGAATTTAAAAACAACTCATAACATTGATTTCACCGAGACAATATGACAATAAGAACTTTCCTTTAGAACAAATCAAATCTGCATTTTACAACAGCTCTTTAAATGACTCTGTCACATTTGTGCTAAAGACATGGGATATTTGGTGTTTCACACACGTGCAAAGCATTCACAAATTACTGTTGTCTGAACACAGGGAGAAAAATCAGCTCTGCCTAGATTTTACCATGTATGCTTCACATTACCTCAATTTCCCATGAGTTTGATTGAAACAGAAAATTCAAATAGTTCTTGAAAATTGATCAGAATTATTTCTTAATTGTATGGCCTAAATTACAAAATAAGTTCAGGTGGCCTGTATGATACTTGGATAATAAAGGGTTGACCTCTATTTTCTAGAAAACCTTGGTACTGCTGTGTATGCTAATGACTGTACTCTAAAGGTAAGTTTCAGTTTTATGTAGTTGCCAGGATTCATGACACATTTCTTTTAATCAAATAATAATTTTCTTTCTGCTTCATTATACATCATAATAGCCTCATGAATGTCACAACAGCCTCACCGAGAATGCCTGAACAATTGCAAAAACACAGACTGAAGAAACCCACCACATTCAGAAAGAAAAATCTACAGAAGATGGACACAGTTTAATGAACAGATCTGGTACCTGACTAAGAGAGTTGAAAAAAAAATCTGGTGTCATAACTCAGACTGACCAAAATATGCACAGCAATCATATTACAACAATTATACAAATACAACATCAAAAAAAGGCATTTTTTCCAGTGTTATCAAAGCAACATACTTAATATGGTAACCATGTTGCTTTGTTCATTATGATATTAGCTTTCTTATGCTGTCCATATTGTAATTGTTTTTATAAAAAATGTTATAGTGTTATGAGAAAAATTATAAAAATTAGTAATTACTGTATAGGTGCTCAAGATGCTGAGATCTCAAGTATTTGTTTGACATTAAATTATGTGGTCTTTTCTGCCTTATTTTTTACATTTCATTGTTATCTCACATGTGAATTTCTCTTTCTCTTTTTGCTATTTTTTGTACACATGTGAAAGGCACTGTAAGATACAATTGTAGCCACAAATTTTTCTCCATGTTTCATTATTTCATTTTACTACATAAAACAGGTAATGTACCTTTGTTTTTGATAATATCATATCTTAAAATATGAATACACATTGGTAAATAAAGGTACAATCGTGAGTAAATAAAGATGGAGGGGAATGGGAAACATCAGTCTATTCATAGTTTTCTTTCTGGACTACTGTCAGGATCGGGAATGTTAAAATCATTATTTCTTGTCACGTCTTGATAATTTTGTTGCATTCTTTTTACTCATGGTTGTAATCTATGCCTACTAGGGAGCCATTTGCGCATCGGTCACAACACATTACTGCTTCCACTTATATTGCTTTATTCATTTTTCAATGAACTGATCAATTCTGCAAAATAGAGCTGTGTGTATTTTCATCAAATGCGTGTATGTGCTCCGCTCCACATCACTACAAAGTTGACGCTTATGCTAAATTGGATCAGCCAGAGTGACATATTGGGAATAACACTAACAGAGTACAAGAGATAATATTGCTATTCAGGGAGATTTGGTCAGGCAGCAGAATTATGGGCTGTACTATGAAGGAGAGTTAATGCTGTGTGCACAGGTAGGTTTACAGCAATGTATTGGTGTGAAAAATTATTGCTAGAGCTATTATCAACAAAAATATTTATTAATAAAAAATTCAGTCACATTAATGTGAGAACAAAACCTCACAATACTCTGTATTTACAAAATATTTACATTTATCTTACAACATCGACAAAAAAAAAAGAAAAAAGAATGGCACTTTTTTCCAGTGTTATAAAAGTAACGTACTAAATATAGTAAACATGTTGCTTTGTTCATTATGATATTAGCTTTGTATTTTCTTAGGCTGTCCATATTGTAACAGTTTTTATAAAAATTGTTATAGTCCAGATTTTTTATGTTTACATAAGAAATGAACAAACAGACAAAAATTATACAAAGCTGTACATCATCTATGAAACGTCTTGGTAGGGTGACACTGAAGGCTTCCTCACACGATTAAGCTGGATCTTGTCATAGACAGTCTGAGGCTGTAAGTGTCACAAAAAGTTTGACATTAACCCATTTTACAAAAATTAAAAGCAAACTATAAAAATGTGGATTCTCACAAGAATCTCAAACACAAAGTTTTGCTCTTACCCCAGGTTTAAGTGAAGTGGCTCTGTTATCAATGGTTTCATACACAGAGCAAGGCTGCATGGTAGATGAAGTCCCCTGAGAGTGGACAGAGACAGCTTCCTTAAAGTAAAACTTCATTCTAAAAATTTCAGAATTTAATTCTGAGAAACGCATAATTTTCCTATCAAAACATGTGCGCAAAGCATAATGCGTAAGCATACTCACATCTTCGTTTGTAAGCTCACCAATATCAGCATAAACAGTGAGGTCATTTGTGTCACTTCCTGGTTACAAATAGAAAACATCAGGTAAACTGTTAGAATACAGCGTTAATATTATGAAGTAAAACATAATTAAAAAAATGACATATTCAAGAGTTTTTACCAACATGTCTTCTTTTGCAGCAACAAACTCCTACGATTATACTGGCTATAATGACAAGCACCAGACATCCACCAGCTACACCCACAAAAAGGATTAAGTGTTTTTCTGCAAATGAGGACATTGTGTATGTTAACAACAAGATTAAATAAAAAATAACCAAATTACCTGACAAAGAAAAACAACTGAAACAATGCCAACAAAATTATTACAAATAATATCATTTTCATCAAATGAATAATTATAACTTCAGTGTCTAACCCCATATTCAACGTCATCACCTGTAGTATTCAGCAGCAAAAAGTCTTGATCCACCCCTCTTTTTTTTTACATTTTGCTTCCAAAGAGACTGAATTTTTTTAAAGTAGTCTTGAGCAATAATTCTCCATCCTTCTGGCACAGACCAAAGGGTCTATCAAAGTAATTCTATGCTTTTACACTCACTTTCAGTCCAGTCCTTGTACCTGATAATTTCCTTACAAACTTTCCTTTTGTTTGTTAAGCCACTTGACTATCACCAGTGAAACATCATTCAAGCATAAAAAGGCACCTCAAGGGACCAGTGTTATAACATACAACTTAAGAAAGAACAAATTTTAAATTGGAATAATAGGCATTTTGTTACTAACATCCTGTTGAAAATACATATCATGTGTTCCCATTTCCTTGGTTGAATATTTGATGTATTGCATTTTTTATATTCTCAAAGGGCTAATAGCTGGACACTTAGCATATCTCAGCAAATGCAGTGTGCCCTTAAATAATTAAAGGACAAATGGACAAGTGGAGAACAAAGACTAAAGACTGAAGACTAAAGAAATGACAAGAAACCTCAGCTAGAAGAGTTCAGGCTGTGCTGAAGAACAAAGGTGGTCATCACAAATAATGACTTTCAAGCTTGTTAGGCTTTTAAAAACTCATTTTTGCCTTTTATATAAATATATCCATCTAGGTTTGCACATTTCAATCTATTTCACAACAGAACAGAACAACAGAAAAGACAGTTGACTCAAGACTTTTGCACAGTCTGGTATGTTCTATTCATCCTACTATACCATTTCACAGCTTCACAAGATCATGTTGGTTTTGGGGATTGCATCAATATATAAACAATAGATCATATCCACTTGTTATATGTCCTACACCTGTTGGACACTGTACATACCTGGTTCTTGCTGTGTACCGTTGCTGCACTTCTCTGTTTGAAATGCAGACTTTTCACTGACATGATTGGAAACTGTGCAGGTGAAATTGGTCTCTCCATCCTGCTCCCTGATGATGTATTGTTGCCTGGGACCAGTTAGTGTTTGGTTTCCTACAGTCCACTTGTAGCTGACATCACCAGTTGCGCTGCACTCCAGCAGAACTTTACATGATTCATTTGAGGAAATTGAACTGATTTTTAAGACAGGCTGTTTAGTTATGGGCTCTAATGAGAAAACAGAAGGAGACAGAGAGTGTGTCAGGTCACCTTTTCCATCAAAGCTTAAAGTAGATGTTTGTGCAGAGTACTGCAAGTTTATAATATAAAATTAGGCCAATCAATAGCAATGAACTTCATTAAATTCAAACAAGTATTGTTCATTACTGTGTCAGCTGGTCACATCTAGTTTAAACTTAAACTTAAAAGCTAAAAAATAAACCAAGATTTAAGTAATGAAATCTAATAATAGTAATAATAAAAATAATAATCTAATAATGAAATCTTTGAATGTTTTGTTTGAGGAAATCCAGGTAGAATTGGTTATTAAGACAGGCTGCTTTGTTATGGGCTCTAATGAGAAAGCACAAAGATAGAAAATCTGCCAAGTCACCTTTTGCATCTAAACTTAAAGTATAATTTTCGGCAAAGTCATGGAAATATATTTTGTAAAACTAGGCAAATCAACAGTATTAAATGTCACAAATGTTCAGACAAGTACCTTTAATTAAATTCATAAACAACAAAAAACAAAAGGAGTATTGAATCTATAACCTAGACAAAAGACAAAAAAGATGTGCAGTAAAAAAAATGTTGCAGTTTGGGGTGGGGGAAGTTTCAAAATGTCACATTAGATTTCACAATGATTTACAATTATTAGTATCAGCTAACAGCTATGGGAACACAAATCTCAAAAATGTTTAATCAATATGCACAATCTATATATAACATTTGTGCAATATGACAGTTGAGAATGCTCAAATACAAAAAAAGAATAATTAAAATGAAAGAAAGCCAACCGCATAAGCTTTTAGGGTTCTTGTTTAATTGAAACAAACAAGCAAAAAAAGTCTCTTACCATGAACTTGCAGAGTGATGGTGACTGAAGGCCTTTGCTTGTTATTCCAGCCTGAGATAAACATAAAATCACCAGAATCTTGAAGAATCAGTTCTCTCACTGTTAAAGTAAAGTCTTCAGGGTTCAGCTCTGATCTGTCCTTAAATGGAGATTTTTCAAAAACACCCACATCTTTGTCTGCAACATTTATTCCTCCATATCTCCACGTTGCCACAGTCACACCTTCAATTGGTAAGCCTGATGAAAGCTCCACAGTATCTCCAACTTTTTTATGAATGACATGTTTTCCACTGGAAGTCTCCACGTCTGAAAAAAATACAGAAAAACAACAATATAATCTTTTTGAAACATCACTTAGTTCAGTTGAATTCAATTAGTAAGTGAATGTGAAAAAAGACCAAATTGCCTAAAACAACATATTCTGTAGTTAAAGAATGGAAGGGAAAGTGTGACTGTAAATGCCCCCCCTCCTCCCCGAAATAACTAAATGAATTAATCAATGAATAAATAAATTAAATAATTAAAAAATGTAACTGAAGAATGAATAAGAACAACATACCTGAAGTGACATTTGTGATATGAGCGACCTAGCATAACTCAATATAGTTAACTATAATGTAAATATATAAATGCATATATAAATATGGCATATGTAAATATAGAAATGTCTATATGCCATATGTGCTTATGCATATATGCATAAATACACAAATTTTAGACACAAATTACAATTAAGGTTTTTATTTCTCTATGAACAAACAACTAATATTTTTTAATTAGAACGGTGAATGAATAAGAAACAAACAAACTGAACTTATAAACTGAAATACAATATCTTTCAGGAAAACAGAATTAGAAAAAAAGGTGGCTGTTAAAAGCTGTTGTTCATTAGTAGGTTTCTTAGGTTTCTTATGACTATGATAAACATTTAAACACAACAATAGTCTTTGTAAAGGTTAAAGTTACAGTATTTTGAAAGAAAAAGTGGCCCAACCACAGAATTTATAGGCTCTACCTCTGTCCTCTGTGCTATGAGCTCATCACTTTCAGCCAGTATTGCTGTTACTGGTGGAGAGTATTCAGGAAATACTTCTATTGCTAGTGTCATGTCTGACTCACAACTTTTTCCATAGCACTATATTCCGTTCCTTTGTCCTTTCTAGTCTTGCTGTGTCTACTCTAAACTGAAGAGAAATAGCACTTGGATCTACATCTCCACTCATTGACATCTGCAAATTTTCTGTCCACACACCCATTTCTGTCAAAGTAATTAATGCATAGAACTGTATTGTATGAGAATTAATGCATAAGCACTATAAGCCTATAAGTATGTAGAAAGTATATCAACACCTACAAAAAAAGCATAATTCTTCAATTGTTTGAAATAGAAATAAATTGTAGATAGAGAGAGCAAGAAATCACAGTAGCAAATATGCAAACCAAACTGAAAATTTAAACCTACAAGATATGACAGTTTCACTATTCATGAAGTTATTAAAAAATAAATACTCAAATAGAAATAGCAGTGTCTTATCCCCATAAGACACTTCTAACAAATGGTGAGCACAGTGATCATGCAACTTAATCAGGAGAAAACTGAACACTCTTAGAATATTTAAGCATTAAAGAAAATTAGTCTTTTTTTCTCTTTAGAATGGATTCTCATGTTATTATTATAGCTTTAAAGCCCCACAACATTTAGTAATACTGCATTTGAAAGCACACAAGAGAAATACACTGGAAGTGTCTTCCAAGAAACACACGTCACTTCTCAATAGAAGTAGTTTTGACCTACGTACTCTACCCTAACCATGTATCAGAGACAGTGAGGCAAACAAATATAACACATGTCACAAAGATCCGAAAGCACCAGTGTACTTACAATGGAGGCAGACCCAGAGCAGCAGCACAATGATGTGTACGAAGCTACGATAACAGAGTCGACCACCAACCATCGCTGTGGGGAGAGGAACGGCGTCTGTTTCCTCTTCTTGTCTGTCAAACTGCGCCTTCGCAAGTAAGTGCAGAAAAAAAATGAGAGGGCGGAGAGTTGGGGGGAGGTTTCTGTGAACACAGAAGCAGAAGAAATGGTCACATCTGATATACAGCAAGATTAAAGTAGGCACACTATTAAAAAATACAGCTAGAACAAATTAATAATGAAAGTTAAATAAAAACAATTTTCTAAAACACAATTATACAGTTATATTGTACCACAGCATTGCTTGTTGACACAAAAATATTAGATCACAGAAAGTAGCATATTCAAGACCACTAGAAAATGCTACTTGCATCAAATAATAGCAATCCTTGGTCCTTATTATTGCATTAACTTAACATTAAAAACCCTGTATTTAGTGCTACAAGCAACTATATCTGGGCTAGATGTGAAGATAAGGTGAGAGAGTCCTTTTCTAATAACATTTCTGCAAGAAGAACATCACCACATCCTGTCACTAGATATTTAACACTTCAGATAACAATTCAGATAACGAACTGTACAGTCTGCTAAGTGAGCTTGTTTAACCCTAAGATACATGAGTAACTGGACGACATACTCTTCCATAAGTGGCTCAAACATGTTTCCCCCAAATTCTGTTGAAACTATTCCAGATATTGCATAGGGGATGTGTGCATCACATACCCAAAGACCTTTAGGCCACACTTGATGGGCTTGTTTAGGATGTAGAGTAAAATTTAGAACCTCGGCCTGAATGGCACAAGCTGTGTATCTACAGTGAGACAATCACTGGGGATGAATCACTGTCTAAATACTGAATGAATACTGTCTGTCTTTTCATAAAATAATCTTCTTAATGGGTTACACTGTTTGTGGTCCACAAAATATATATTCCTGACAGTCACAGTGGATAAGAATAAAAGGTTCCCATGAGAGGAAATGAATGCAGGTCACTGTTGATCCTTCTACAGAAGCTTGGGCTAGTAATACAAAAGACTACAATTTTGTAAAATGTACAAAAGCTAAGTTAAAAACATTAAATTGCATGATATGGTTTTGAGGAACAGGTAGATAATCAATTGATTACAACTTAACATTAATTAGATATTGCAAGAAAATGACCTCAAATTATGACACACTTATGCATCTTAGGGTAAAATAAGCACCAGCTTCTGTTTCTTATAACTGCAGCACCCAGTCTGTATTTCCTGTATGTATGTATCATCATTCATAGTCTGCAAAAATGTAATTGGATAAAATGAATAAAAAAAATAAGTTGTTGAATATTTAAACACTGCTGCTAAGCGCTGCTTTTCTCTGCATGTTATGTAAATGTAAATATGCATATTTTCTGATTTCTGCAGTTCCTCTGTCTGCATTTGCATGATGAGGCCTATAATAGTATATGCCTTAAGCAGAAGTTATGGTTCTGTGGGGACTTAACACAGGAGGAAGTGAACTACCCATCATCAAGATAAAGCTCATTTCTATGCAGCCTGCTCAGAGAAATTACATGTAAAGAAGATATATGACCATGCTGACCTGCCTCTTCTGTCCTGATTGATCTGACATGCTCCAGTCAACATTTACAAATTTTGAAATTTTCCTTACCTGGGTTCCCTTGAATCACTCTGTATCTGTGTGAAACCTATGCTAACTTGTCTTCCCAAACTGCATGCTATTTGTGTGTCAGAATGAAGACCCACATGCAATTGTGAGAAACTGCCAAAACTAAAACTGTGCTTTATTTCAAATCATTAAGTCCAAAAAATGAACAACAGTCACAAAAGCTAAACAAAAACCAGTAAACTTACTAGTTCTCAGAGTATCTCAAATTTATAGAATTTCCAAGTATTTCTCTGGAAAGTTTGGACTAAACCCTGGTGGTGGTAAGGAGTGGGAAAGAGGCTTTTTAAAAAGGCTTGGTAGTTACTTATTACACTATAGTGCATTTTCTCAAAATTCAATCAGTTAAAATGTTATATAATGACTACATATAAAGGCTATTTTAAATTATATACCAAAAAATGAATGGCACTGCAGACGACATTGTGATATATAATGAGAGTAGGGAGCAGGTGGAAGAGGTGGATGCATGCACTGGATAGAAGAGAAAAGAAAGTGAGTAGAATCAAAACAGAATACATGTGTGTCAATCAGAGGAAGACACGTGGAAAGGTCAACATGCAAGGAATAGATACTAAGGGCAGATAAGTTTAAAAGCCTGAAGTCAACCATTCATATCAAAGGACAGTACACAGAAGAGTTGAAGAAGTGTCAGGACACAGCCAAATCTTGACAAGAAGAGAGTGCAGGCAGATAAACATCTCACAATATAGAGAATAACTCTCTTGGTTAGTGTAACTGCTTTTAATGTCACTCTTGCAATAGAAGTTTTTAATTTCGACACCCAATATATATTGTTATATCACAAAGCCCTAACGAGAGAAAGTCAAATATCGCACTTGCATTTTACATAATAAGGTTGATCTATCGTGTTTAGGTCTGTGAAGGTTCTCAGTCATCCAGGTCATCATAGTCAAAGGAGCTTGCAAAGAAAAGCTTCTGGACTTCTTAAAGTTGCTTGAAGAAAGGTCAAATGGCAGAGAGTCCCAGATTTAAACCCAGTGGGATTTTCCCCCCAAAGAGGGACAAAGGACCCCCTGATGTTCCTCTATGTAGCTGGTGTATCAGAGAAACTCAGGAGAGTTTTCTCCAAGCATGACATCCCGGTGCATTTCAGACCCAGCAACATGCTCAGACAAAAACTG